ACTGACAAACAATAAAACAACAACAACAAATTAGAACCGATCAAAGCGACACTTATCTCGATACAGGATCTCAGGGTAAAACTGCACTTAACTGAAGTCCTGCCAACAATCCCTCTACCATCGAAAGGTCACCCACACGCCACTCGACGTCACAACAACGTGTAACTACTATCGATAATCGATAGTCTACAAGTGGCCGCTATTAGCGACATTATGCACAAAGTAAATAATTGAGACACGCGTTGTATATTCGCAAAGTTCTGCTCTTTTTACTCGACTGCGAAACGCAAATTTAGGTAATGCTTATCGGACTGTATATGGGTGTTTGTTCTTTTGTGGCGATCCAGATACAAAACGTGTAAGCCGATTTTGGTGATTTTTACGTCAATCGAATTGCTTAATCTTGCCCGTTCGTGCAACAGCAGTGCAACTGTTGCTTAGCCCTACCATAATTCAGCCTGTTATAGTCCACTGCTGAACTAAGGCCTCCCCCACAACCCCCACGAAGCATGATCCTGATTTACCTGTATCCAGTGGCGGATTTGTAGCCTTTGCAGGCCCCAGCCCATATAGTAAGTTCCAGCCGCCCCTTTCTCAGCGCCCATCATATATCTTGTTATCATGCGTGAATTTTTGTCACGATTGGTCGCTCCTAATATGTGGCCGCCCTAGGCCCGGGCCTATTGGGTCTTAGGGCAAATCCGCCATTGCCTGTATCCATCGACTTCCCACACAATTGCACAAGTCAGTCCATCTAGTGGAATATAAAGTTGTTCAATCTGGATATAGTTTACACATGATCATCGTATATGTCAATTAATCAGCTGTCAAATGGCTTTTCAAATGTCATTTGAGTGGCCAATAGGATGGTTAAACTCTTTGAATTGATCATTCTGATCATTAAGAAGATCATTCCGGTCAATTCAGAGAGTTTAACCACCTTTTAGTGACTAAAATGAAATGTGAAAAGCCATTTGACAGCTGATTAGTTGACATCTACGATGATCAGTGTTTCAGAAACCGGGCGTCACCTTTGTACTCATACAAATTCCATCACATTTTGAAAGTTACGACCTAAAGCGAAAAAATCATTCAGAAAACATAAACCTTAACATTATTTCGAATTTCTTTCGAATTCCCTATATGTATAAAGAATCCCAGAGAAGTGTGTGAGAAAAATTTTCCTTCGTCGTGAAAAAGACGAGCCCCCATGAGATATACGCTTGAATGTTTCCACGCATGTCAGTGAATAAATAGCAACAATACGATCATAACTGCGCCATTGTCGTGGACAAAATGCAATAGAATTTTTACATATGTATATTACGATAGAAGACGTGCCCGAAAAATTAACATTTCACTAGGCGATCGATTTCGCCCGACTGGCTCACGCCCATTCACGCAACAAAGAAAAAAATATCGATTCCTAAATTCGAATGAAGGACGAACGCCATTTAAAAAAAAAACATTTGCATTAAAGCGTCCGTCGCTAACGGATTTGCGCGCGTAACAAAACGGCGCACAATTAAGTTAAATCGAATCCGTTTCGAACATCAATCGTATTACCATATTCGTACGAGTCGATTTGATAATGCGTCCGTTTTATGATGGATACGCGGTTCCGCCGCCCCGGCCGTGTGCGGCGCGAAATCAAATTGGAACGGTTGGTGTTCTTTATTTAAAAAATGGAGCCATTTATTATCGAAATAGGAAAAAGATGGCCATTGATACGAGTATCTTTATTTTAAAAATACATAATTTAAAAATAATAAAACCTGAAAATGTAATTGTGGTTCCAAAAATAAAAATATTTCAATTCATCAAAATTATAAAAATGTAGGCTTACGAAAAAGTAAATGATTTTTAGTTTTCATTCTTCAGGTAGGTACTCCGATTATAGTCAATTTATTATGTACCTATTCTATTCAGAACTGTAGCACAGATTAAGTTAATTTTGTTATTTACAAGAATGGACATTAAGAGATGAGAATGTTGCTGGTGTGATAATATTAAAGATACACGATGTTGATAGGAAGAATAGAGGGTTTTGAACAAGGGTTTTGCTTTGAAAGAAGTAAAATTTGTTGAGGTCAGATAAAGCACAAATAAAGCAATGTGTAATCTTTACTCGTACCAATGAGTTGGTACTGAAGTGTATAATATATTTTCGGATCAACCATTAAGCAAACTTCTGTGAAAAATTTTCTTCTATTATAATCTAAATACAAATAAATAGTTTATCACTAGTACCTTATTGAGACGTGACGACGCGTGTAAATTAAACTTAAGGAGATAGTAGCAACAGTCTATTCTGCTGTAGTAGTAATATATTTATACTTAACGCATCACCAAAGGGCATTTGTAACGGTTCGGCGGATTCGACAATAAATATTCAAATAACCCAACAAGGCGACATAATCGCACGCTACCTGCGACACATGTTGCGAAATTAACATTCATTCAAATATCGGCGCGTCCCTGGGTCATATGCAAAAATCATTTAGCGTCATTCGCCAAGCACTGGCGGCGCGCGTACACTGCGAAACGAATCGATGAATGGGAATTATTCTCGTTTAGATATTTTTTATCGGCAATAAAAATATGAATGCGCGCGCATTTAATTTGCGTAAGCACAAAGCGCGACCGCACATAGTTGCGTTTTGTCGACGACACCTCCCGCCCTTCGGCTGGGGCGCGACCCACTGCCCTCGTGTCGGTGACGTTTTAAAAATAACAATTCAATTATCGAACGAATTCGGTGAATCGAATTATGTTTTCTTTTTAAACGGCAGCGGCCCGCACGTTCAAGACGTTCGATTCTAATAAAGAAATGATATGCTGCATAAAACCTCCTTTTTCGTATTTATAAATTTGCATGTTTCGCATTGTGCCGTTATTGGATCGTATTCGGATGATGGACGTATGATAATTCCTTCTATAGATCCCGATTGTGACTTTAAACGGTGAGTAGAAATATTGCTTCGCTTGAGTTACACGTCGATACTTAAGATTGTTATTCTTTAATCTAGTTTCCGTTGGTACGTTCATTCATGTGGAGATTTTCCAGCCCTTTGTAGACACCTCTTGACCTTAGATATTGTAACGGTCTGTTTCGCAATCGATACCGTATTGTTGCATTCGGGAATAATCTGGTAACTGAACGTGAGAAAATATTATAACTTTGTAATGTAACCCTCAGATTTTACGTTTCGTTCATATTTTTATTAAACTTTTTCTGTTTTTTTACTTGCTTCTCTCTCACGCAACAACCGATTGAAATTCTGTCTTCGGATCATTTAGAGTTAAAATAATAAACCACGTTATTTTTTTCAGTATACGAAAAAGCAATAAAGACACCACGAGAAGTCAGATCTAAACCAGAATTGGAATCGTTTATGTGCGAGAATAGTGCTTTTGTATCTCAATATTTTTACAGTTAAATATGATGAAAGTTCCGTAATTAGATATATCAGATGGAAACATCTAATATATTGATCTACCCAGAAGGCTTTACGATGCTTAAAGGTAGAAACGTAGATGATCTGGGACAATAATGCGGTATGAAAACAGATTCTTATAAGAGGGCGTTTAAATATTCGCATACTTTCTAACTGAACTATTAGTTGATCAACTTTTACTACCATTTTCTTTTCTATCTATGTTCTGCTTATGTTTCTAAGCTGGATTTCAAAGACACAAGGAGGATTTAGAGTAGTGTATTTTCTTCCTCGACCCTTACACTGTTCTCGTAAAACATTTGTTCTGGGCATTCGAACTGTGTCTTCCAAGATCTAAACAGTTGTAGTGTTATTAAAAAAATTCTTAAGTTTCTCTAAAGTTTAAAAAACTATAATCGAGTCTGAACAAAATAGCTAGCTATGTTGTCTTTAGGTGATGAACTTATGATAATTCCGACGTTGATGAGTATTATTAATTTTATTTATTACTAGCTGCTGCCCGCGACTACGTCTGCGTAGAATAGGCTGAAGGCGTAACATTCAGACAGAAAAACAGATATACATAAAAATATGTAAATAAATTATAGCCTATGTCTTATTCTGTTGTATTAGCTATATTATTGTAAAGTTTAATTAAAATCCATTCAGTAGTATTTGCGTGAAAGAGTAACAAACATCCATCCGTACTTACAAAGTTTCGCCTTTATAATTTTAGTAAGGATAGCTGACCCTCTTCACCACGTGATGCTCATGGTCATTTCTCTTTCGATACTGTCCGATGCTTTTTATTATACCTAGTCCTGACAAAATTTACCACAAAGGCATTATACGACCCCTTCCTAAAGTACCCATTCCTGTCCTTCCTAAAATTGAGGAAGGACAAAAGTGATTTAGTCCTATCTCAATTTTACCTTTCTAATACAAAGTTCGAAGAAGGAAGCAAGTTTCTATGCTTCTTCACACAGAATCACCCACTCAGCCCTTATCAGTGAGTCTCGTCCTAGATATAGCACCACAAAAAGGGACAGTGATGGTAATTATAAACTTCTCAAAATCTTATAACAATCAAGTATATTATAAGATTTAGAGAAGTTGACAATTGATGACATGAAATCCTTCTATCCATTATAGACTATTTGCGTCCCCTGTCAGTTTGATACTGTTCCTATCTTTCCAGGCGTCATCAGTTACAATATACACGTGTAATAGTAATGATGTTATTTATATTTATGTATCTTTAGGTATATGTCCTTCTCACTACCACAGTGGGAAGGAGACAGAAGAAGGAGATCAGCTAAGATTCTTGCCCTCGCAAGACGTACATAAGGTTTCCATTCTATCTATTTTCATCTATAACCAAAGAAGTTATCAGTTCCGGCCCTGGAACTAATGAAAGATGAAGAACTATGTAAAGCCTGTTCGGTGGCAGTGTTCCCGTAAATGCTGACGTGTGCCCAGTTCAAGACGTGCATAGAGCATCGGTACAGATGGTTACAGTTATCGACTCTACGGAAATACCACTCGATATAAAGCGACGAAGATATGCCGGGGTGCATCGTAAATAAAACAAGTGAGCGCCGCAAGAAAGAGACATACGGGCCGCGCGACGCGCGCAACCGATTCGCATTGTGCGGCCGGCGGGCGCCCGAGAATTCTTATTTCGAATTTCGAACAGCCGGTCTCCTTCCGCATAATGACGCGGCGATGGCAGCTGCTTGTCCAATCGCGGCGCGCCGCGGCCCGCCGTGGGAGGACTGGCGCGCCGCGATTGGCCGACGCGCGCGCGCTCTCCGCCAGATTTGGCGGGCGCGCCACCGCCGCAGTCGCGAGCGATTGTCGATTGTCGCCATTGTACCGGGCCGGCGACGGACGCGGCGTGAGGGCATTCGCGATATCACCGCTATCGGGGCGACGGATCGATCGTTGCACTTCTGTTTGTTTCGTATTTATCATGAATCGGCGGCAGTAGTTCAGTTAGCTTACTAATAGGCTATTTGGCAGTGTTTGTGTTGTGCCGGCGGACGGCGAGCTGTTCGGAAGCAGGCCGCGCGGCGACAACGTGGATCTGGAACTGCACCAACGTGCCAGCGGTCACTTTATGAGGTAAAAAAGTTTCCTGTCATTTATTTATTTGCTCAGTATTAAATGTCTGTAAGTACTTACATCTGTGCGTGCAATATAGCTTTGTGCAAGATGTGATACAAAAACATATTACGAATATAAAAGAAAAGTGGGTGTAATATTATCCTAATTTTTACCTAACAACGCCGACATATATATTTAACTCGTTATCTATTATTTGTAATAAAACTTCTTTGGAATAACACGTTAAATGGTTTTTGCTTGTCACAACTGAATTAAAATGGCAAAAAGCGCGATTGTAACTCACAACAAGAACTATTCATAATAAGGTTCGTATTTAATTAACAAAAAAAATTCAATGGTACAACGGAATGTCGTTGAACCTTTAGAAAATTTGATTTGAAATTGATTTGTCATTTTGTGATGTTATTTCCATAGTGTTCCTTTATTTGATAAAATAGGTGCGTATTAATTGAAGACGGGAAGGCTTTTCACTAAAGCTGTCATTGTCCGCTTGCGTTGAAATCTTTTGTGATACTCAAGTGTGATAACTTTTTTTGTGGCAGGAACTCCTTTTGTTTGTATTATTACGTAATGATAAGATTCTTATTAGCTTAATAGTGGTAGCTTATATTCTTATAACATTCTTCTCAAATAAAAGGGGGAAGTGGCAATTTGTCTGCTTTAAGCTACCTCTGTCTAACCAAAACGGCTAATAAAGGTTTTTAATTTCCTTTTTTTATTATTAATGTTTTATCAAACACTATTATTAATAAATAGGGTTGTAAATAACACCCGGCGGGTCCCCTTTCCTTCTAATATTTGTCATGGCAATAGCTTAGAAATTTCCCATGCACTCTTACTTGTAAAGGTTGTAATCTAGATTACCAATTAGAATTGGTTACAAAGTGGGCGTGTGAAATATTATCAACTCTTCATTCGAATTGGCATGATCGATGGCTGCAGAATTGTAAACTAATTTTATCGACGGATCTCGACCGCTGAGCTTAGTGGTTTGAGCGTCTGGACGCCGTACCCAAGAGGGTACAGGTTGCAACGGGTAAAAATATTTTCGACGGTTTTATCTAAACATGTTTCATGTTAAGCAATGAAGTATAATTAAAAATCAATATTTAAAATGGTTTTATTAGAACAATAAAAGAAGATACATAATTTTTTAGAAGACCGGCACTTCTTCAGAATGTTTTTATGTGATCCCGGTACATTGAAATTGTTTAGTGTTTCGATTAATCACATGTTTAATATTTAATGCAACAAACATAAGTATAATATTTATAAACATTAAAATCGTTTTGATTGGTACCGACTGAAGTGAATTTTTGTTTCGAAAACGACATCTAATCGCATAATGGTACAATATTGTATAAGTACATTGTGTAGTAGGTAGTTTTTATGGCATATCCTTCCATAAGAAATTGGAAAACTTCCATAAGAAATGGAAAAAAAATATTTAATCAATAGAACTATTTTCCATTATTTACTACGAAACGGTAAAACCGATGTAGGTAGATCATTGATTCCATTCCTAAAAAAAATTGTGGCAGCGAGAATCTATAAAATCATTGAAGAAGAAATGGTCGAAATTGCGAAAATAGTAGTAATCTGTCTGGGGAGTGTGGTCGATGACAATTAACTGCAGACAGTAAGCTTATTTAGCGACCTTCTGCCATGAAGTGTGAGATCTAGCATTATCCTGAAGCAGCATTGGGCTAGAGCAATTGACCAGTCTTGAGTCTTTGAGCAGCGAGCTTTTACATCATGGTATGCAACTGTTGACAATACAGGTCTGCCGTAATCGTCAGGCAAGATCTCAAGAAGCTGTAGTACATGATACCAGCACTGGTCCACCTAGCACTCACCAATACCTTTTTCTGAGTCAACTTTCGTTTTGGAGGATTCATTCTCCTGACTTCAACCACTGTGATGACCTTTACAGATTGACGTACAGAACCCATTTTTTATCGTAAGCAACATTAAGACTCAAAATTCCCTCGTTATTGTGACGGTTCAGTTATGAAACGCGGCACACAATGCCTGTTTGGTGATTGGTATTTTATTCCTGCAGTGTTTATTTCTCGAGTGTTTTTCAATTTTTCCATTTTGTATCAAGAGAATTTAAATTGTTTCGCCGTCCACACTGATGCCTGCTGGTAACTGACGTGGTTCGAGATGGATCTGCTTCCACGGTCATCTTTAAATCTTCGTTGTCAACTAGGGTCTCCGGTCGTGCACGGGGCTTGTTCTGTATGTCAAAATTTCCAGTTCGAATTCGTTGGAAAGGAGAACGTATAGTGTTATCTTTTACGGTAACTTCCCCATAATCCTTAACATCCTTAATACTTCGAGCTGATTCTACAGCGTTGGTGCCTCGGTGGAATTCGTATTTTTTTTGTCTTTATGTAAAAGGTTGCCAAACGAACAGACGGTTCACCTGGTGTTAAGTGAATACCGCCGCTCATGGACACCTGCTACACCCGAGGGTTGCAGATGCGTTGGCAACCTTTTTGGAAATTGGGCTCCGGCCACCTCACTCACCAGACGAAACGCGAAAGTATTAAGTTTTATATTATACTTACACTTTACGGCGGTCTTCTGTGACGTCGTGGTACTTACCCGGACGAACCTGCCCATTCGTGCTACAGCCAAGGTTGCTGCGTGGCCCAACCACCGTAATATATAATGCGATATTTTCACTTATATATTGAGATCAGACCCATGTCAAAAAGCGTGGAATCAAATGAGGCACTAAATTCAACACACAAATATACAAGCATCAATTTGAAATAAATTTGAATTTGGAATTTTTAGCTAAACGCCAGATATTGGCTTTTGTTTGATAAAACGTCAATGTCGTGTGGTTGGTTTTTGTTTAGGTTAATTTAGTAAAAAATAATGAATGGTATAGAAGCTGGGGCTTTCGGTGTAAGGTCACGAATTCAGGCGTGAAATATTGAGTTATCCATTTGTCGGGTTATTCACGGGTAGAAATCACCATCCGTACACTTAATAGTACATTTGAGATCTTCAATCTCTGGGACCTTCCGTGGAATGCTCCGATCCCCCCGACTGTATGTGAGCTCATCCAGAGGGATGCGACGTCATCTCGGCACCTGCCCTCAACCGCGTCAATAGGGGATGTTTCTTTGCTCTTCAATGTACTGGCGATAATTTGCCATTAGTTAAATCGCTTGATCATATTTTTTTTTTATATGGAACTGACTAACTTTACTGCCATCCCACCTGATGGTAAGTGGCGATGCAGCCGTGGATGGTTCATCTGCTACTTTATATCATACAAAATTCAATTCCTATTGATGGTTAAGTTGGAGCATTAAGTTCTTATGATGTCTTTGATCTTGTTTGATCAGTTAGTAGTATCTTAGGTGCACTGCTTTATTTACAGCCCACGGCAAGTACTGAATTTCAAAATCTGATGACCTATTAGCCAGATATCGCTTACAAGTACGCGAGTGATTTCAACACGATTTTCGTTATCATAATATCTAACAGATTATTGGGCAACATTGCAAATTGTTGATTCAGTATACTTGAAACTTAAGAGTTTATGTATTTAAAGGTTAGTGTCTAATGATCTAAAGTGTATCTCTTAATGTGACTTTGAAGCAACCCCTGTGCTTGTAATGTCTATTTAAAATTGCTCTGTCACTTAATTATAGTATACTCAATATCTGAACGAATTACCTCATATTGGGATATGATGGCACTTATGTAAACGACATTGTTAAAAGAATTAAGTTTGAATAATGTCTAACACTCGAGTTCGAAAAAGAATTACAAACTCCAATTTGTTTTGTTAGATTTTCACTTCAATAAGGAGATATATTAAAACTTCTTAAAGTAAAAATACAGTTTGATAGTCATTTCACTCTCTTTCTGAACATAGAGCTCTTTGCTCTTTTATTCTCTTTTTCTGTCTTTCATATACCTCTTTCTCTTTCAGAGATTGAATAAAAGCTTATCAAGTAATAACTACCAGGTCGACGTCTTTGTTCTTCAATACGGATACAGCAGTTGTCTGTAGACCATAGATTTGAATATAAACTAAAATGAGTAGCGGAGTTTTAGAATTCAGTTTATAATGGAATTTAAATTCATTAGAGCTGAATTCGATAAAACATTTTCTCATAAGACAAATTTTCCTTTTAGAAATTCATCCATGGGAACTTAAAAAAAAAGTTGCCTAGCAATTGACCAACACAGTAAGTATACACAGCACTGTTTAGTGTACACAACAATAACGTGAACTTTGTGAGTACAGCCATGTGGCTCCATATAACACGCATATATGAATCAATTGTGTACGATGCAAAAAAACCACGTGAACAAAACTATATTTATAATAAATTGGGTATGGTTTGGACGCACATGTGTTTAACTTTATCGGATTTGACAACACTGATTTTAAGTTTACTCAAGCTTTTTTGGTCCAAGAGACTTCAAGAGAGCCTTATATAGCCCATGGGTTTATGGGTAACAACCCTTTATGGGTTTATAAACTAACTATAGTCAAATACCATTACAATTAAGAAGGAAAAGCTATCAACCATTTTTTTAATGTGAATAGTTGCCAAGCGAGCAGGCGGTTCACCTGATGTTAAGTGAATACCGCCGCCTATGGACATCTGCTACCCCCGTGGGTTGAAGGTGCGTTGACAACCTTTTGGAAATTGGTCTCCGGCTACTTCACTCACCAGACGAAACGCTAAAGTATTTTACGTCCACTTTACGCCGGTCTTCTGTGAGGTCGTGGTACTTCCGTGAGAGCCTGCCCATTCGTGCAACAGCCGAGGCTGCTGCGTGGCTCTACTTTGTTCCACTTTATGTGTTTACTTAAGATAGGCATTATTTCCCTCTTGCGCCGGCCAATTCGTTCAGTAGCAGATTCTACTAGAGCGGAAAAATATACCATTAGGCACGATGATACGTGTTTACTTCTAAGAAGGTGGCAACAATCATTGTGTTCTCCTGATTGTCAGCGATTACCACTGCGCGCATGGGGGTTGCAGATGCCTTGCACACCTTTAAGAGGCCCCCGGTTATCGATCTAATCAACTCAGCAGAAGATGAAATTACGAAGACTTTGTTTACGTGAGAAGGTGGCAAGCAAGTTGGCAATTCACCTGATGTTAAGTGATAACCGCCGATTGATGTTTGCGGGCCATAAATGCGGATAATAAATTAGATTACCTCACTCACCAGACGAAACGGGGAAGTGTAAAACTTCTACTTCACGCCGGTCTTCCGTGAGGTTGTGCTACATCCCCGGAGAGACCTGTCTATTCGTGTGATAGAAGACTATTTCGTTGCCCTACCACAGTTTGTGCGGTGCTCCCTTAAGGAGCTGTTCATCCAGAATGTTACCAGGCAATCATACTCGGAACGTGGTCATTACTCATACGGGCTGATTTACACTGACTAGAGTTGCACGTGTCAAATTGCGCGGACGCAATAATTCGAGCGCTCGCGAAATTGGGCCGACGGCTCATAAAGCGAATTAGGTGAGTTCGGATCGCCTAATGAAGGCACAATCGCCCCACCTTTATTGTGCTCGTCGTAAACGCCTTTGTTATTTTTACACGTTTACAATGGCGTACGGGCTTTGTGCGGGGCCGACGGCGATATCGTTTCGCTCCCGCCGTGTTGTTGACCTCGGCTGTTGCTCATTTGAGAATGCTCAGTCGTAAAGAGCGAATCAGGGATGAACATGCGTGGAACTGCGCTGAAGCCGGTTGAGGATCGAATTTGCTGTCCAAACCTGTGTTCGTTGATATAAAGGGTAAAACGATCTCTGTGTGTGTATCGAAATAATCACAAAGTTGTGTATTAAATAAATGACCACGATAAGTCGCGTACATAATTTTCGAAAAACGATCAAGGCAACCCTAATTGAAAGGGCCTATTGTGCAATGAATAATGTACGAAGCAACAAAATTTGTGAAAGCAGTGTTGCCATTAAAGTTATTGTTATATATTTTAAAATTAAGTAAATACCTACATGTTGTTTAAAAGCAACAGTAAAGTATGACTAGTGATGAGTTCTCTTTTAATGGTTCTTCGCTGGTTTAGATTAAATAAGTGATGATAATGAGTTAATGAGTAAATAAGATTTTGTGGTAATTAGCAAGTTTATATATTACGACTTATATTAATTTTCTTTACATGTCCCTTTTTGAAAAATTAGGTATTTGCGTTAAATTTCTTATATATTCTATTACGGTTGACGCTAGCGCTAAAAGGTGAATCGGCACAGTCGATAATCGTATTAACGCTGAAGTATCGTAAATACATATGTACATCGATTATCAACAATGTTTCAACTCAAGACTCGGCTTTGATTAAAGACGATTCCTTTAAAAGCTATTATGTATTACCACCGTCTTCTTCTTATGAATAAAATAAGAATCTGATTAACGTTTGCAGTAGTACTGCGTCTCATGAAGGTATTTGACCTAAATATAATTTTTCTATGTATGTTTTTCTCGGTGCAAAAAGTAAATAGCCTTTTTTTCTTTTATGTACTATAATCAGTTATTCTTAGTGTAGAGTACTGAAGGTATTGATACAAAAAGAAAACGTTGTATCGTAGGCACTTTTAAGGCATTGTAATCCGTAACATATTAGACAGGGTTAGGACAGTCGAGCATTGACTCCTCAGTCGATAGAACATCGATTAAGACCTTTGCTTTGAACCTAGAAATTTGTCAGTTACGTCAGCGTCGGGCCTAAGACAATCCGCGCGTCTGTACTCGCCGCTGGTCAAACAGGCGATCATGTGCGCGTTTGCACAAAGCGTTAGCGGCGCCGCGGGCCGAAGCGATCACAAAGAGTCGAAACCCATAAAGATATGCTACCCTGGTACATGATGGGAGCGAATGTAAATATCGAGGACTAGTTTGCTCGCCCCGGCTTCGCATGGGTACCTATACAAATCTTTTCTGGTCTCGTTTAACGCAGTTGCTAAGTTACCTCGGCGTTGGAGATCCTGGGTTCGATTCCCAATTAGTACAAAAAAACATCATTGCATACTAAATAAACCAGCCAAGTGCGAGTCGGACTCGCGCACCAAGGGTTCCGTACCATTATACATAATAAACTAATTGGTAAGTACCTATGTGTAATTTTTAAGGAAATTTCAACTAACTATCACGGCTCATAAGATACAGCCTGGTGACAGAAGGACAGACAGACAGACAGACAGACACCGGAGTCTTAGTAATAGGGTCCCGTTTTACCCTTTGGGTACGGAACCCTATAAACGCCTCTGTTAATCGTAACCTGATGCGATCGTTCGGACGTCGTCTGCGTATCATTCTCATCGACTTTCGTACGAACCGTACCGAAAATTGGCATACCGTAGGTGACATCCCTCCCCACAGATAATGTACGCGTGAGCACATTAGTGTCCTAACGCGGAGGGTCGTATCGAGTTCTGGCTATCATACGTACTCTGCGTCCGATGAAGCTCTAACAGTCTACGGGCTGAAAGCAAAACCATCAGTCAATGTGAAGTACTAACGAGCCTTAAGAAGGTTGAAGATTAATTCTCTTTGAGCTTTTGCCCATAAAGAAGGTGAAAATGCATTCTTTCGCACTTTAACTCTTCACGGTATAGAAATGGGTGCTATTATTATCTGCATTTTATAAAATTCAATAAGTACCAAACGACCAAAGGTAGTTAGTCTTCCACACCTATATATAAAAAATAAACATGAGAAAAATAACATTATTCGCTTTTGATTCCATAGTTTTAACAAAACAGAATATTGTAAAGTTTTAAAGGACTGAAACAACCTCTTCTCCAATGCTCAAATTTAATTCTCCAGTTACTAGGGTAGTGAGTGAGGTAACTAGGGCTCACACTATTAAAGGTGGTGGATGCCCATGGTCTTGACCATTTAACAACAGGTGAAGGATCGGTGAAATACTCGTCATAAAAACGCATATCAGCACTGAAGGCATCACTTGAAACAGTTTAATGTACGGGTAATACATATCTTATCCTTTAAACGAGAAATTCTTGTATATATATATATATATATATATATATATATATATATAATCGGAGTCTCGGAAACGGCTCCAGCGATTTTCATGAAATTTAGTATGTGCGTACCTGTTTTCAGGAAATGAAAAATATCATTCGAATATGACAGTAAATTTCGCATAAAAAATGTTATAGTAGCTCGGTCGGTAATCGGGCGGCCCCAAAACAGACGGCCGCGGTTCGTATCACGATCACTTACACACTTATTTTTTTTTACTTTTTTTTTCTATACCAGATCATTTTCTTTCTTTTTTATTATTTCTAAAATACATGATTTACCAAAAAAAGGTACTATAAAATTCTGCGTCATTTGAGTAAGAAATATTTACCGTCACAACTCGCATCAACTGAAATGCGACTGCATAATGCTCGGTTAATTAGTTAACTTGCACCTTGCACAGACAGCTGTTACCCCCCCATACATTCCAAGTTCCGTAAGTTAATTTTAATATACTAACTAAACGTTGTTGTGGGAACTTTATACAACTTAAAATTACATTTAACAGTAGAATTCACTATATTGTGATCTAACTGAATTGGGCATTCTTAGTGTTTTATTTAATCTATATGTAACAATTAATGCTTTCTTAGACCATGGAATAGTTCAAATGCTAATTGAGTGTCTTTAAAATCTATAATATTCGTTAAAGTGTGAGACAGAACATTAAAAAAAACCTCAATCTGTAACCTATGAGAACTCATTGCGAGGAAACTTGTATTAAATAAACTATTAATATAAAGCCTCTAATTTCTATAGACTCGTATATAATTATTTATCGTTAAATTTTGACGTGAGCTATGCAAAAAGTCGTAAGCATTTTCAGAAATGACCGATATTTATCTCCAAAATAATATTAGACAATTACTTTGGAACAGTCTGCCCTTAAAAATTAGAACGCCGAAAGAATTTACTGTATATGTTTTCCGACCACCGCCGTTCTTCACAAAATATGTTAAAAAATAAAATACAACAGCACATTTCCGTATGTAATCTGTACGCATAAATCTTATCTACGTGTATGTAATTGAGCATTGAGCATCAGAAACGGCTGTATTACCGAATCCAAGCTTCCCAAGACCGGGAACTAGCACGTCAATATAAAAAAAAGAATCATATATACTCTGTGTGTAGCGTTCGGACGCGAGAGCGACTCTGCAGTTCTATCCGTGACTTTAAATCGCGTTGTTTTATAATTTAACGTAGTTAACGATAAATTATAGACCTTAATTAAAGAAATCACTAGCCGATCGGGATTCGAAGTCGTCTCAACCGATTCGAATCCAAAATAAAAAAAAAAAATAAAAAAAAAAATTCGAAGTCTGACGAACTGTCACCGATCCACGAGGCTCGCTCACGTCAGTTAGTGTTAAGTAAACACGAATAAAAAAAGCCACTCTGTGAGCCCGAATTGCGCTACTGGCGACGTCTCCACGCTAATGATTCAGACAAAGAGTTGGCGTGTTTGCGACGGCCGCTGCGGACCTCTAAGTAGTGAACGGTGGCTTGTTTGGACACCAGCCTCAGTTCCCTTGTTGACGCGCCGCCGTTCGGAGGCGGTAAATGGATGCGGCATTTCGGATACTTCGATTAGCTGGATCGCTTTGATGACATGGATTCAGGGAAATACCTCTTTAGTGTAAGATGTTTCAAGTTGTAGTATTTTTGATACAATCGGACTAAATAGCGGGCACGTAAATTTCAAATATGTACGACGACTTTTACAGCATTTTCTTCCGACTTAATCTTTAGATTTTATAGTTTTCTATAGAAACTTTATTTAGCTTAGTAAAATTTAGCTTTAATTACCCACAGATTGCGGAGGTTTCCATTTTTAAAAAATTTACAGACCTCTCCGTTCCCCTGTTAAGCCCTTCCAATTAAATAGTGTTACTTCTGCAGCAGTCAGAGCCATCAATTAACAGTGCCATTAGATTATTACATTTGTGAATTTAAATCTTGGGAAAATTTTAATCAAACTCCACGTCTTTAATTCTAGTTCACCGATAATTTAGCTCTTCAATGGGCGCTGTTGTTAAACTGAAAAGTTAACCGGGCTAAGTTGATTACGAGTAACCGCTCACACTCTAATGTCAAGTAGGGTAAAGTCGTTTCTGAATCTCAACATCCACCAAAACCACCGATAGCCTTGTCGAGCAATTTTTTCGTAATGGTCTATTTCATTTTTTTCGTACTATCTATTATATGCTTAATTTTGTATATTGTATGTATGCTATTTGCTTGCTTCGATATAAATTAACATAGTCTAGTTCTATTCAGGCTTCTTCTTCATTAAGCTCTTAAAAGCTTGTCGGCGCAGCATCCATGTCAGTTCAGCTGTGCAATTCTCTCTACCTGTCTTTGTTCAAAGCCGTTTCCTTTACCTCCTTTATAACTCTCCCTATACAACACACATAATATGTTCTTCTTAGTTTGTGATTCATATTTTTTCTTTAGACTCCCTCTAACCCGCTTTCCTTCTATCTTTTGGCATGATGTTAATGAATCTGTTATGTCTTATTAGGTGGCCTATCATTTTTCCACTGCAGTTTTTTTTAAATCTTTCAGACTTCTCTTCTCATTTATACTTTGGCTCATTTATTATTAAGGCTTACCTTCGTTTATAGTAACAAATTAGTAAGGTTTACCTTTCTTTAGTGACAAGTATTAAGGTAGTGTTATTATCTTGACCTATTAGTTGATATTTTCATCTTTAATATGCCTATCCATTTTGTATCTGTCCTTCGCTGCGTATTCGACCACGTCCATCACCGGTCAATCTTCGCTGTTTATCTCGAGTTCGCGGGTCAATGTCAATCGATTACGAGTAGCGGTTTGTCTCTGTTAGATTAACACATTTGAACCGGCATTGAGATGTTTCTCTGTTGACTTAAAAAGGCGAGATTCAAACGCAGCGCATATAGATTCCATCAACACTTCTGAATTCTCTCCTACTAAATATTGTCTCGTTTGTAACGTCAAACTGAAATGTACACGGTAAGAAAGCGCCATTTGGCGAATTAAATTATTTTTTTATTTATTCGTCACAAAGAAATTTTTCGACTTAATTTAAACTATGTTAAAGGACATTATTTAATTAGCAAATGTTAACTCGCCTGACTGATAATGAAATAGGTGATCACTTTATCCCGGCTACATACAATACATACAACGGCGTTAATTTTTTTCTGGGATGTTTACCTCCGCGTGTTTTTGGCACGTCCTGTAGCCGAAACTGCTAAAAGGATTTAAGCGTACTTTTTATCGTAAGCATCATGAGATATGAGAGTGACAAATGCTAAAACATTGAATATTATTGAAAACTTAAGCGATTTTCACATATTTTTCTTATCAGGACGCGAGTCGTATTTTGATGCCGTAAAGAAGAATAATACGCATTATCTGATTTATATTATATTGTATTTAGTTGTATTTTATACTTACTCATTGTAGCTTCTTTGGTCATGGACCATTATGTATATGAATCCGATATGGTGTCTCAAGATTTCGACTTCAAATTTTTTAAAGTCTATTCTTTTCCCCCGACTAAAGCTTCTTTGGTCATGGACCATAATCAATACTGTAATCAAATACTGTAATCAAGAGCCGTGATAGCCCAGTGTCCGGGCGTCGTACTCGAGCAACCTGAGTTCGACTTCAAAATTTTTTAACTTTAAGTCTACTTATCACGTTTCCCCGGTGAAGGAAAAAAATCGACTAATTTCGAAGAGTGGGGCCGCGTGGTAATGCCCTGATACCCTCTGTATAGAGGAGGCCTTTGCCCAGCAGTGGGACATGTATAGGCTGTTACTTTACTT